CTCCAGGTCCTGGTTTTAGCACAACACTGCTGTGCAGGCAAACAGCCTGAAGTTGAATAATTTGAGTTTATTTAACTTAAACCAGGGCTCTTATCTCCATTTTTTAAGTATGAAGTGAACAGTTCTAAGTATACTAATACTTCAGGTGATAAAAGGTGGACACACTGACATATAAACCTAGGACACTTGGAATGTTAAAAGCAAAATTTATCAAACTGCACTGTACATAGTGATTTATTCATTAAAAAGCACTAAGGGTTTTTTTTTTTTTCAATAAAATTATCACTACTCTCACCAAAAATAACATAAATGAATGCAAGTGAATGAATCATCAGGAGAAGCAAGTCTCACTGTAAAATCATTTCTAAAAATATTATTTAGAATACTAACCGGGAGAAATTCTAGGTACACTAGCAATTTCAAAAATCAAAATTTTGTGAGACAAATAATAAGAAAAAGAAAGTTTCATGTTTTCACTTCTAAGTGACCTCAGTAATTCTTAATGATTTTAGAGTAAGCACCAATAATTAATCCAATTCCACGCCCCCCCCCAAATCATCACTCTTTCATACTTTGCATTACACAGAGAATATTTAGAACTCAATGGTTTACTCAGGAAGTTTGCTAATAAAGTTGCTTTATTATAGGAGGTTAGTTTTAAAAAACTCTAGGGACAATTGAAAAATAAAAAACCACTATAGGTGATTTACCAAACTGTTTCCTTCTATCATGGAAAAAAAAATGCAGCACAATTAAGATAAATACCGGATTACCTGTCTTGAAGCCTACCAGAATATGCCCTTTGAAACAGTGAACTTTATATTCAAAGGTCTAAGTCAATGTTAGCACTGTTATGATGCTATCAAAGTGACTATGACCATCGCCATAAACATCAATGTTGTGTCAACAGAAAAACATTGCTTTCAAAAGGAAGAGTGTAAATTAAAAGAACGAGAAATTCATTGTATCAAATTTTATAAAAGACCTGATTAAAAAAAACTCTGCTTTTCAAAGTAAAATAACTCACCCCTACTCACTTTCAAATGATAAATGACAATGACATTTTTCTATCCAGAACACCCTGGAAACTACAGAACTACACCTGTGATTAAAATATACTTGAAACCAGATTAGCAAATCTGTTAAAGGATACTCTATTTTGATTTTTAACATACAGAACTCCAAGGAAACTTCACAGCCACTTAATAGTTTGGCTGGCAGACCTCTGAGAGCACGGAGTTCAACATGTTCACTTTTTACGAAGAAACTGAGGCCCAGAGAAGTTGTGACTCACCAAGGTCACAGTTTTGTGTCCTAGCTGACAGGGAAACTCCAATCTACATGACCCAACCAGGTCCAGTGTCCATCCTCAAAGCTTTACATTCAGCTTCTGTCATAATTTACTTTACAGTTGGGTGGCCAGGCAATCCACTCACTAGAAATGATTAACAGACAGATGGCTTTCGTCACTGCTCTCACAGGATGCCCACAGAGATGAGGACAACACACACTTCACAGCCATTACTCACTTCTATCAGCTTGAAAAATTAACTAGATGAGAACCATTTTTCTTATCTGAATAGGGTACTCCCTCCTTAGCATAATATTCAGGGAGGCTAACACAAATAAAATAATAACCTCTTTTTTCATTAACCTCCAAAGGGTGTACAGAATAAAAGAGACCAGCAATTCTCAGCTTTTGGGTCTTAGGACACCTTTCCACTCTTAAAATGTACTGAGGATGCCAAAAAGCTTTTGTTTATGTAAGTTAGATCTAATGCTATTTACCGTATTAGATTAAAACTAATATTCACTTTAAATCATTTAAAACTAAGAAGTCATTACATGTTAACAAAAGCGTATGTTTGTGAAAAAAATAACTGTTTCCCAAAACAAAAACTTGAGTGAGTGGCACTGTTTCACATTTTTGCAAGTCTATTGTCTCACTTAATAGAAGACAGCTGGATTTTACTATCTACTTCTGCATTCAATGTGTGGTGATAGGTTTTGGTTCAAGTGTATGAAGAAAATCTGGCTTCACACCGGTATGTTGTTGGAAAAAGGACGAGCATTTTAATGGTCATTAGAGATAATGGCAGATGTGATTCTTTGATACTACACTGAAAACTGCCTGTGAGTAATTTCTTAAAGGTTAGTTGCAACGTGGATCTGAAACCATGTTATGAACTTTTCATAAACTATTACATTAAAAGCCACTGGTCTATCCTCCATTTTGAGTGGACCTTTTACCGATGTGTGATCTTTCACTTCATGAACCTCCTTGAAAGGGTCTCAGGAATCCCAAACAACACTTTGAGACCTACTAGAAAACAGTTTAGAGTTCAATCTAAAGACAAAGGTTATTATGAAACCTAGGAACAGTCACACACCGCCTTGATCCTCCACAACCTGTAATTCTTCAAATATTCCACATCCCCCGGAACGGGGTATCATCATCCCATATTAAGATATAGACCAAAAGGCTGGATTTTGATCCAAAAGACATTAAATAATAAGAGACTGGTGATGAAGCATGGATGAGGTTAAATTAAATATTATAACATGGGGACTGAAATCTAGAAAAACATCTAAGTATCTTCCGATCCTTGAGCCTTTATTCTGAGAATGATCAAAACAAGTAGGTTTCAGCTTTGCGCAGTGGCGGTATCTTAGCCAATGAGGTTTATCTGAGGCGCGATTATTGCTAATTGAAAACTTTTCCCAAAACAAATTGGTTTGAATAATACTCACCAGAAAAAGCTGTCAAGAATCAGTACGCTGTAAGAGACTTCATAACATTAAAGCTTTGTTATTAAAGTTTTGGGGAAACTTACACTGACTAGCATAATACCAACCTGTGTGTAAACAAAATGAATCCCCTCTGACTATATTAACACGTATGTAAAGAATTTTGGAGTTCTCCAGAAGAGACACTGAACAACACCTCCAGTGCCCCACAAATGCAGAGTAGGCTCAAGGTCACTGATTCATATTAATATGTTTAAGGCTATGGGTCACTAGAACATTGGGAGGGGCTTCAGGAATTGAGTGTAAAACCTACAATTCAAATAGCAGAAATAGGATACAGAACAAAACAAAGCAGAGAACTAATGATTTTATCTACTCTACCTCTACTATTGCTACCAGAAATATCATTACCCAAAGCAATAGCCTTCAAAACTATAAAAGCAAATAAATATGTAGCGACAAATGTATGATGCATGCCTAACCATAAAAAATAATAAGAGTAGAATTTAATAAGAATTATCAACAAATATTTCTTTCAATTACATATAAAATATTTCTTTAAACTATTTTGTAATTTCATATAATGAAGAAAACACAAAACTAAAGGATATGAAAGCTAAAGATTGTGCGAACTAATCAAACGTTAACAGTCACAGCTAAAATGTATAGAATACCTATTGCATACCAGATGATATGCAAAATTAACTCAATTATCTTAACTACCTTTGAGATGGGTACTATAGAATTCTTTTTTCTTTTTCCTCCAGATGAGAAAACTAAAAGCCCAGAGATGAAGGGATATGCACAGGGACACAAAGCAATTACGCTGGGATTTCAACCAGGGCAGCCATGCTCATAACTACTAGGCTGTACTCCCTCATACTAACTCACTAAAAACATCACTTACAAAAATATCGACATCATGTGCAAAATTTCCTTCTCTAAAGTAAAACAATGCACTAGCAGGAGACCACATGCTGAGTTTGTTTCTGATGAAAGCCATGCTATCTCAGGCTACCTTGCATTAGGGTTCAGAATTTAAGAGAGGCAGTATCAGAATATGATCATTCATGCTATCAAGAACTGTAATAACGTATCCTTTAATGGAATGTTTGCTTCCATAAAGGCAAGAGGAGCAAGGTTTGAATCAATGACAAGGAAAAAATGCACGAATTAAAGTTTTAGCTTTTGGCTCATAAGAGAAGAGAAGGAGAAAGATATAGAAATACATGTAAACCCTATATTGTTAATGGGATGAACATATTTCCCACAACCTAAGTTTTTAAGGGACAAATCCACATATTCCTAACTGCCAAAGGAAAGAACTGTATCTAGGACATCTATTCTTTATATGTTCAATAAAGGGGTCATTTATCACAACCATGTAATAAAAACAGTACTGAAGCAAAGTCCAATGCAAGTATTCATTGTATAACTTAGAACCACCCTTTACAGTCATATCGAAAGCCTCTTGTTTTTTTCTAAATATATACAACATGCTATCTGCAAAAAGGAAAGTCAAGAGATATTTTACAGTAAGCAAAGTATGTCTTCTTGCAGATCTTAAAAGTTATACCAACTCAAAACTGCAGTGACATATTTCACTTCCAATATGAGTAAGAAAGCAAGACTGTCCACTTAGTAATTTTAGATGTGCTGAGTCTTTAAAAGCCCTCAACAGTTATGGAAATAATTTATTTGTATTGAAAACCATGACTTACATACAATTAACCTACCCAGAAAAGGACAAAGAGGATACAGAGCTCGTGGGTAACAGATTTGGGGTTCAATTTCATATTTCACAACCAATGAAGTGATTAATAAAAAAAAAAAAAGCTAAGGAAAAAAAGACCACAAAGAAACAAATGTAAAACAATTCTAGTAAACCAGTGTACAGCTAAAGAAAAAAATCATCTAACACTAGTCTGCTAAAGTAAATATAGTAACAGGCAGGAGAAAACAAACTTTTCCCAAACACCTACAACAGGCAATGGGGAAGGGGGGGGAGGGGATACCCATATATGCTCCTTCACAATCAACACAAATATTTTCTAAAAGATAATAAGAATTTTTTGTTTCTCTACTTCAAAAAAGCAGTAACATTATACCAACAAGGAAAAGAGGGGGCACTAAATGACCATGCTGAAAACATGTAAAACAGTAAACTGAAACGTGTTTAAATTTATTATAAAAACTTTTTCAACATTTTATAAAGCCATGATTTTCAAAAAAGGAGGAAAAAACCAACTTACCTTGTTACATTTTCTGGAATGTATTCTAGAACTGGATATCCATCACTTCTTCTAGATGACAGGTCGCCATGTGATTTCCATGACTCCACTAAAGTATTAACAGGAGGAAAGGAACTCAGGTGTTGGAAAGATTGGTCTCTTGCCGATCGTGATAAAGATATTGTACCTTGGGCACCAATCCTGTAGTGAAAGGACTGTCCACCCGAATTCACACCAACAATAGCAGATGAAGGGATGCTGGCCTCTGGGTAATAGCTCCCATCATCCGGTTCCTGTTTAATACCCATTGGGAATCCACTGCCTTCACAGTTACCATCAAAGCCGGGCACAGGTGGTCCTAAAATTCCTGATAGAGAATAATAGTCTTTATCATCCATAAAGGAAAAATATGAGCCATCCATAAATGGAAATGGGTTTACTGCTGGATTCCCTTTAAAAGAGGTACCTGAACATGAATGCTTGGTTGATTCTTGTTTTATTGGTACTGAGAATGGGGAATCAGAATTTATTTTGCTATTTCCTCCTAGACATGAGCTGCTAAAAGCTCCATCTGGCTCCGGTTTTATGTACTGGACAATGTTAAGCTGACCAGTCACACCATTGGAGATGGCATTCTCTACTTCCTCACTCTTAGGAAAGGGGACCTCTTGAGCACCTTTCTCCTGTGTGTCTGGACTAGGAGCCACATCCCGGGCTGCACCGGATCCAGCAGGGGTGCCAGAAGCAGTGTAGCTGAAGGCATTGTTTACAGGGCTACAGATAGATCCCACAGTACTAGCAGTTGGACTGGAAAGCGTGGATCTGTTATTTGTGTTGGAAGGGCTGGAAACAGAGCACCTTGAGTTGTTGATGTTTGCAGGGCTAGACACAGAGGACTGCAGAGTAACATTATTAGGACTGGAGACCGGAGATTTTACGCTGCAATGACTCGGAGGGCTGGATATTGGGGATTTCATGCTACTTAATGGACTTGAGAGAGGAGAGCCCACATTGCTGGCGTGTGCTGGGCTGTGTGACCTGGAGCCTCGATTTTCAACATTAGGGGAGCATGTCAAAGGAGTCCCCTGGGTGATAGGGCTGTGCACTGTGAAACTGCCAAAGCTGGCAGAGGTGGAGGACACAGAGCTGATTCCAGCAGGGCTGCAGACTGAAGATGTCATGTTCAGAGGGCTGCAAACAGATGGGCTCTTCTCATGACACATAATAGGGCTTTTAACAATGGCACGCATGACCCCACCATTCACAGAGCTCCCAGAGTCAGACATGAAGGATCTCAAGGGCCTGTTCACACCACCTAGAGTGGACGGATGATGGCCATTTTCTTTGTAAAATTTCACCAGCTGTTCAACATTTTGATAAATCTTTGCTGGACTCATGCTTCCTTGTTGGTTCTGCTGATCATAGGTGTAGTCAGCATCTCTTACGGAATCCATGTATAAACCCATGGACTCAGCTACAGTTGCTGAAAGTTCCTTAGACTCCAGCTCAGTTTTAATATCAGATGTTAAAATCCCAGACCGATTAATGTCTTGCTGAAGGCAAGGGAGTAGTTCGTGTTTTTCTTTGCTGCTTCCTTGAGTACTGTTGTTTGGAATAGCACCGGAAACACAGCTTACGTTGACAATCTCCATGTAGTTATTCTCATCGGTCCTCTCTGTAGGTCCCAGGGAAGAATGTTCCACAGCCTGAGAAACTTGACCCCACCGTCTTTCCATATCTAGACCTTCAGGGAGACTGTGGTAGCCTTTGGTCTCCATGGCTAACAAATAAATTTATATTAAAAAATTGAATTAGAGTCATTTATAGCAATATTACTCTAGAAGACATTCTAAAATTCCATTTACTAAGCTATACATACATATTCTACTTATAAGCATTACTTCTAGTTACATTAAAATTGTTACCTTTTTAGGTGCTGTTATAACAGTACTGACTATATAACTTGTCCAGAAGCTAGACTATAAGCAGCAATCATATAAAATTATTTTGCATCTAAATAAAAGTAACATGTTTGCTATAACACAGCCTTTAGATTTGCAAAGACTATCTATAAATGTTAACTTATTTAATATTCTGAGTAATCCTGGGGACTGATGAGGCAGGCAAGGAGGAAAGGAAGGGCTTAGTGATGTGGGTGACTTGCCCAAGGTCAAAGATGTGGTAAGTGATGAAGTTGGGTTTAAAAATAATCTTCTAACTCCAAAACCTTGGAGTCTTTCAAGCATATGGAAGCTGCTTTCCATATCTAATACATGGCTTTATTAAAAACAATACGGAAATACAATCAATGTTACCCTTTCTCAATACGAAATTAAAGTTATCAAGTGAATTATCACAGGAAAAATAATTTAAGAATTATTTTTTTAAAAAAATAAGACTTTCTTAAAATGGATTAGTGATGAGGATAACGTAATGTCAGTTTTGAAAAGTAAAGATTCATGTATCCTGATTAATTAAGATGGTCCATAACTCCATAGAGAGGCAGTATGATAGCTCGGGAATGTCAGCACGAGATTCTCCGTATTTCAATGCTGGCAGGGACTTTGACACGCATCCTTACTTAGTGGTACCTCTACTATAAAGACTTCCAGCAGAGACAGTTTTATTTTCAGCAGTAAATGGAAGAAGTTTGAGATGAGTCCTGACAATTTATGTGTTCATTCATTCAACAAGTATTTACCAAGTGTGTGCTACATCCTGGGCCTACAACCAGTCACTGAATCTGTAGTGATAAACAAAACAGGCACAGTCCTCATCCTCAGGAAGCCCACAGGTGTTTTTTTTTTTTTTAGATATACAATCATATCTATTGGCTCTCTATATAAATTTATTTCATAGACAAAATAATTGTAATAGGTTATATTTATATAATCCTATGTACTGTATAATCCGATGCCACATTAGAGCCTCTTATTCACACTAAAAACCCTATGAGATTGACTAAAGTAGTATCCAAATGATACATTGGGGAAACCAAGGCACAGGCCACATATCTATGTGGCAGAGCTGGAATTTGATCCCAGGTCTCTACACCAAGGTATCTGAACCTTGGCATTACTGACATTTTGGGCCTGATGATTCTTTGTGGTGAAGGTCTGTCCTATGCATTGTAAGATGTTTAGCAATATCCCGGACACCTACCCACTATGTGCAAGTAGCACTCCCCACATCCAGCTGTGACAACCACAAATGTCTCCAGACATTGCCAAATGCCCCCTGCTTTGAGAACCACCACTCTATAAAGAAACCTATCTTAAAGAAAATTAACTCATTCTTAGTAAAAATTTCATTTGTACATTTTAATATACAAAACTGCTAAAATCATTATGTATGCATTTTTCAAATCCTTTCAGGTGTGTCAACAATCCATGACCCAGATAAAAGTCTGATGAAGTTTCTGCAGTTCTGTACACCAATATTACTTTAGGCCTCTCATCCTCTTCTCCCTTGGCCACTCACTACCCCCATTCCCTCTAGCTTCCCCTCAGGAAAAGAGACTAGGAAGTTCTTCTGCTACAGATCTTATAGTAATTAACATAGAAAAATAATAGAATGGCTCTACTAAATAAATTGGCAATAGATATCACAAGGCTCTATAATGACATGTAATGCCTAAATTGTCTAAGTTATTTTAATTATCTCTTACTTCTCTGTATTCTACACTACATTTTAAGTTCTCAGTAGGCAGAAACTTTGTTAATTTCACCACTGGATCCCAAGCAGATAGCCCAGTACAAATAAAAAAATGTTAGCTCTTATAATCAAGTCAATTTGTGACTACTAAAATCTAGCATGTAACCTTTTAAAGAACATTATTCTATAAATTCCTAATCACAAGTCAACACAAAACAGGGGAAAATAAATCAAATTACAACAGTTGAGGTGTTTATCTGGTAATGCCAGCCAAAAAATTTAGTGTGGATAAAAGACAAGTTGAAATATGTATATATATATACACACATACGTATATATGTATTGAAATGGGACTTAAACCGCTAATACTGACCTTTTCTACTTTACTGAAAAACCATTTAGCTGTAACCATAGGTTGCAAATTCAAGCATTCTGCGCTTCTACTTCTACCTAGAATATTCTGTCCTCCCCATACCAAACTTGAATAGATGCACATCTAAGGTATAGATGTTTCAGGTCCAAATTCATTAAACACAAGAAACATGTCAATTCATGTTCAAAACTGAACATCTTCTGTGTATCACCCCCCCCACACCTCCCGCCCTGAACCCTGTCCATAAACCCACATTCCCTATCTCAGTAAACTGCACAACCCTCTACCCTAATGCCTGCAGGTCACCCTTGCCTAGGGCCCCTTGCCAGAGACATCCAAAGTCTCCAGCCTCCCCACCTTCCACCTACAGCTTCCTTTCTCATCTCCACTCCCCCCACCCCACCCCCACCCTAAGCAACAGTCTGAAAGGAGAATCCCTATCTTCAGATCCTTTTCCAAAAATCCATCCTCCAAATGTTCTTTTGGAAAAGATGATCACTTATTGCTTTTCTGAAGTTTCACAGTGTAAATCCGCATGCTAAACTTCTGAGAAGTTTTACAGTGCAGAAACCTGTTTCTTTTTATTCCAGCGTCCCCTAAATAACTTGGCCACTGCCCCCTTTTTCCACAACACCTACTAATATTCTAAGGGATGCCTTTCATCACTCTGCCCTAAAGCAGGAGCCAAATCTCAGACTTGTGAAGCTACATGAAGATTCGAAGAGAATCTATATGGGAGATAGCCAGCAAGTACAATCTTAAAGCACTCTACAAGGAAGCACCTTATCACTAACATCATGCAGCTGATCACAACTTTCCAAGTCCTGTTTGGCTAGCCTTTAACTCTTAACAATAACATAAAACAGCCTGAATTTCACCATGTTATTGACAGGGCTATCATTAAAGAATTTGCAAAAGGCTTTGCTGAAATCTAAATTAGTTCTGTGTAAGGTACTGTTTTCATCTACCAACTTTAAATGCACCTCTCAACAAAGTAAATAAAGGTTGGCAACTGTCAGGCACAAAAAAGATAGAGGACATCTAGTATCTGCATGGCTTCCACTGGAAACATTTTTAAAGATCAGAGTTTTTAAAAACTTAGGAGTATTAAAATATTTCATGCTGAGTTCCCATTATTTTAATCAGTCTTCTCTGTAAACAAATAGATGAGGTTAGGAATTTATTTCCTATGTAGTCCAGGAAAGCCCGGTTGTCTTTTTGGAAATGGCATAATAACCATGGCTTGAGCAGAATTTCAGTTAACCTGAACTTAGTAATAAATACTGAAAATACTAGTTGATGATTATACTCCTCATAGAACTTAATACCCAGCGGGTAAAGCGAAAGTTTTTGTTACTAACTAGATGACGAAGCAGGCACTTCATGTATACATATCTAGCTTATATAAAATCAGACTTGTCTCCCTTACAGCAGAAACTATAACAGAGGCTCTCTTGGGACAAAGACAAAAAATATTTTGACCCTTTAATTTTCATGCAAATGGCCTCCCCCAAAACATAAAGGAAATTTCACAGAAGTAAGGAAAAGCATTGACAAAAGTTCTACCTTAAGCCATTCATATGCTCTTAAACACTATTTTGGCAAAGGAAAAACCTGACTTAAAAATTTTTATGTTTTACAGTCTGTGTTAAATTGCGCTTTTCCATAAGGAAATAGCGGTTTTGTTTTTGTTTTTTTTCAGGAATACTAACAAAGATTCTTGTGAATTTGTATTTTGTCTGAAAACACTTTCACTTTTAATACCCCCCAAAACACAGTCCCATTTAAAACATATTTTCTATAGTTACTTCACTGTAATACGGCATCTTAAAAGACAGAACCTTAAGAATTTCACAATTTTCACTGGTTGCATCGCTGTGAAAGTTTGCTGTATGTAACTATTTTTCTGTCATACCTACTACAGAACTATTACTATGTTCTCCTCTTTTATACATGAGGTAAATGATAGAAACCTGCCCAAGGTCACCTAAGAGAGCGGGAGAACCAGTTAGAACTGAGTACACCTGATTTCTATTCACTCACCTAATTCACTAAGCCACCTGATCTTTCCAAAATCCCCAAGCCAAACTACGTCTCCCTTAAAGGAAAAAGCTCCCCCCCCCTTTTTTTTTAAACTCCTATCCTCAGGCATTTCAACGATAGTGTGCCATGAACTCAAACATAAAATTAAAACTTCACAGATGGAGAACGCTGTTATCATTACTACGTAAATACCATGAATAACAGCACCTAAGAAATGGCCATACAAATGTTAAAAAGCAATTTAAGTGCATTAGAAATTCACCGCTTTCAAAACTTGTCTGCTATCAAAGTTTTTCTAACTTCCAGGTTATAATAAATAGTTAAAACTGAAGGTGCCATAAACCATTATGATTTAAACCCAGTCTTTTAAAATTCAGTATAGTAGGGTACGGATGACACCTAAAGAAGCTTCATCCTTTCTCCCCTGCCTTTAGAATTCCTACTGCTGCCACAGAAAGCATTAGCCTCTCTCAAGAGTTTTATAAATACTAGGGAACGGGAAATGCACTAATTTCCAGAGCCCTCTTCTTACAGGCTGCATCAGGATCTGTATCTCCTTCAACTGCCCTTATCTACTACACCTCCAGCTAAGATTTGGGTGCTTCCGCAATTGATAGAGGAAAGAAATATTATTCAAACGTCCTTTAAAAAAATTGTATAAGGAAAACGATCCGAAATTCATCCTTGGGGAAAGAGAAGGGAGGTAGACCTCCCACTGCCAAAGGCGGTTGAAAGCTGCTCGTTAGAGGGCATTTATCCAAAGTGGCCAAACTTTCCCAAAATAGTCCTCTGGCGGCCAAAGGGGGTAAAAAGTGGAAAACCAAAACAAAACAACAAGCACACAGCACCATACTGACTGTGCCTCCGGATTACGCAGCCACTTCTCCCTGCAAAGTGCACGCTCCCGCGCCGCGGCCGCAAGCCGAGTCAGGCAAGCGGCGCCCCGGGCGCACCCCTACACACCTGCCTCGGCCGGGGTCCGTCTCTCGGCGTCTACCTGTTGCAGCGCTCGCCAACGCCACGACACCCCTGCTGCGGAGCCCCCCTAAATCCAACCACATCCAGGCCAGCGAGTGCCGCTCTCCCTGCAGTGAGAGAGCCCGAGGCAGCAACGCTCTTGCACCCAGGTGACTGCACGGGCTTCCTCCGAGCAGCCTGAAGTTGGCTTGCGTCTCCCCGGTCCAATGACACCCCGGGCGCGGAGGGGCGGAGAGGAGGGGGCAGGGCCAGGGCCAGGGCCAGGGCTGGCGAAGTGGGAAGGGAGAGAGGGAAAGAGGGCAGGCGAAAGCCCGGAGGGGGAGTGGGCCAGCTCCAGGGCCGGGGTGGTCACATGTCCAGATAAAGTTCAGGTTGCTATCCCGCCCCCCTGAGCCCTTCCTATTGGCCCGGAGGGAAGCAAGGCTCCACGCCGCACAAGCCAGGCGGGTTTCTCATTGGACAATCCCGGCTGTCAGTCACCAGGAGGGCGACATGACTGATACAAAGTTGCTGCGACACAGCCTAGACTCGGCAGCTCCCTTAAAGCCGCAGCCACGGCGGGCGCTTGAGGTGCCGGGCGGCAGCTACGACACTGGGCACTAGGCACCCTCCACACGCTGCCCCCCGCCCCTCTCGCTCGACTGCCCCAAACTTGCTCGCGCCCACCTGACTCTCCTCCTGGCTGACCTCAGGCTATCTGGAAAGACGTTAAAAGTGTGGTGACGCGGAAGAAGTCGGTTTTTCCGAGATCCAGTCAAGGTGTTGGTCCCTCATGCTCTCCACCTGCAGCGCCAGGTGAGCGGCAGCCCTGGCCCAGGCACCGCCCACAGCGTCCGCGCGCAGGGGAGGACTCCTAGTGGGCTTTACCCGACCCCTAAGGTTCCTCTCCCCGCCCCTTTCCTCGGTCTTGCGAGTTACCTCTCAGCGGAGCAGCCGCAGCGTCGCTAACAGCGAGCAAGAGGATCACGTTCCCACTCGATTTGAATTTCCTTGTTTTAACCGTGCAGGAAAAGCGGGTGATTTCAGTGCAGCCAAAGCCCTTTAAACGCAGCGTCTCTCCCACCCACCCCATCAAAAAAAAAAAAAAAAAAGTGCCAGGGTCAAGAGCTGCTGCTCTCCTTTATGATTTTGTTGGTGCATTTATTAGTTTAGTATTGGATTTTTCCACTAGCTCAATTTGAAAGCTTACCATCGAGGATATTCACTTCTTTATAATGGGTGGGAGGGGTGCACATAATTGGGAGAAACACACAGGAGGGGGAAGAAATCAGTGTTTTCTAAGGATCGAGTGTCTGCAAGAAGAAATTTCGGTTTCCCTCCAACCGCCCCCATCTCGACTCTCCTCTCGCCCACCCAAACGCTGTAGTTACTAAGCAAAAGGAAGGGCTTCTTTAACTTTGATTTCTAAGGACTTTGAGACTCCGCGTCTGAGGCTCCGTTTTGGGCTCCCGGCTGGCCCGGAGTCAGCACCAGTGACGTACACACCTAAATCTGGTCCCCCGGCCCTCGGCGACCCGCAGCCCGGTGGTGGCAGCTGTGCAGCCTCCAGCCTCACCCTTGCCTCGCACCCGCCAAAGTCGGAGGGCGGGGGGGGGTGGGGTGGGGGGCGGTCAACCTGTCTGTGCCCAAAGGCCCCTCCTCTCTTTACAGTAATTAAGCTTCGGGATTCCAGACCCCGAACCCAGGAAGACTCGAATTCGCCGCCGCTCCAGGTAGGGAACTCCCTGGCGGCGGGGGCGACTCCGGTGCTCAGCAGTCCCCTGCGCGGAGCGGCCCCCGGGACCCTGCAGCCGGGAGTCCCAGCCAAGTGTCCCAACTTTCCCGCGGGGCCCGCCGTCACGCGCGCTCTCCCGGCCAGGCAAGCAGCCTGGCATCGATCGCACCGGGCCGACCGCGGGCGGCAGGCAGGAGCGAGGGGAGTCCGGAACCTAGCTAGCGCCCGGGCAGGCGAGGAGGCGGCGGCTCAGCCTGCGCTGACAAATTATTCATTATTAAGGGAATGGACGTGTCTCTTTTACTAAGTTTTTACCTCCTTTACGGAGGGTAGGTCTTGCCCTGGATCTCAGCTTCTTGTAAAATCTAGGTTAGATTTTGCAGGGACAACCGCCGCGATCGCTCGCCTGTCGCCCAGCACCCCTGCCCGGAGGCGGCCTGGCGGGCACCTGGTCTCCTGCCCACAGCCCACCTCGGTTCGCCCACCGGCGCCCTCTACGCGGACCCTGTCTTCCCCAGGGCCGCCTCTGCGCTCCCCGGGCCCCCTCCCGCCGCTGTCAGCGCAAAGTGACTGTCGCTGCACTCACCTTTTCTAGGACATGGTGGGGGAGCTGGGGCGCGGGGCGGGGGGGGGTAGGGTGGGGGTGAGGGCAGCGAGACTCCCGCCGCCGCCGCCGCCGGCGCCGCCACCAGCAAGTCCAATATTAGCAGATCGGCGGTAAGGATGGAGAGGATGATAATCTCGGCAGTGGCCCTACTGACGTTGGGTAGAGCAATAGATCAGTAGTGTTGTTACCCCGCAGGAGGAGGAGAGGCGGCGGCGCCAAATCGCGCAGAAGGGGACGCGGGCGCCCGCCCGCCCCCAGCAGCGGCGGCCCGGCCTCAAGCGGGCCCCTCTCCCGGGGCTGCTGGTCTCCCGGGCGTTGACGGCGGCGGCCCTGGAAGCCGGGAAGTACGGCGGGATGATTCCACGCCTGAGCCCCGCAGCGCGGCTCTCCGCGCCCCCTCTTCGGGCCTGGGGTGGCCGGTGACAGCTCCGGCGGCGGAGCGTGTGTGTCTGTGTGTATGTGAGGGGGCGGCCGCAGGGGGAGCCCGCGGCGCCGCGGCCCCCTCCCCGGGTCACACCCTCAGCAGCGGGAGGAGGCTGCAAAGCGTCCAGCCACCGGCTGGTGGGAAATCGGGATGGGGGCGCCAGTGGCTGGTTGCCCTCTCACCCTGGCCCCCGGCGGCAAGGAGGCCGAGGGAAAACGGAACCCCCAATGCACGTAACCCTCCCTCCACCACTTCCCACGTCCTCCCAAAGTCTGGGCCTGAGCTCGCGCCCCGGCCTCAGGTGCAGTCCCCAGCCGCGGGGGGCGGCACGGGTTGGGGACCACGCGCGGGGGGCGGGAGTGAAAAGTTTCTTTTCGTGCTCCCTTGCCGCCCACCCAGTGAGGCTGCTCCTCTCCACCTCTCTCGAGTTTGCGGCGCCTTTGCCCCACCCGCAACGTGGGGGGGGGCGCCGAGGAAGGACCGGTGGCTGCGCGTGGGGGCGTGTGGGGAGATTGGTGAGGAGCGGCGGCCGCGACCGGTCCCCTAGCTCTGACAGCGGCTGAGATGCGGACGGTGGTGCCTCCGCAGAGCAAGCTGAGGAAGGGGCCCAGCGCCAGGACCCCTCCCCCCTCAGCTCCGCGAGCGCTGCGCGCCCCCGCGCCGCCCCGCGCGCCCCCGCGCCCTCGCGCCAGCCGGGGCAGACACCTACGCAGACGCGAAAGTGAAAGGGGGGCGACCGAGCCTCGAAGGCGGGCGCAAGGCGAGGGGCAGAAGATGAAGCTGTGACCCGCGATCCCGGGTTTCTCCCACTCCCTCTGCCCTGTGGAGCAGTCTGCTGCCTCCGGACTCCGGAGCCTCCCCGAAGTCCCACGTCCGCCACTCTCTGCCACACAGATCACCCCCATCAGGGAATATATATGTGTGTGTGTGTGTGTGCGCGCGCGCGCGCGCGGGTTCACGCTCACTCACGTGTGTGAGATATAGGTTCAGCCCCAGACTTTTCCACCGCACTGTTACAGTTACCCTTGGTGGAAAATTGGGGGGGCGGGGATAGAGTCACAACCCCTTACAGGCTTCCCTGCTTGTTGTCCTTTATGATTCAGTTTTTTAAACGCCGCGAACTGACCCCCCCACACACACACCTCTTTCCCAGTTTAGCACTTCTTTTCCTACAGGATCTATTGACCACCACCCTAACCGCCCCCCCCCCGCACTTTTCAGGGTTCTTTCCCATTTTCTTACTAAATAGCTGTGAAAGTTGCTAATCTCTTCCCACTCAAAACTGTGTTAAACTCGGAGCTACCCTGTTAAAAACAATCACTGCCTTTCTTCAACCACATTCCCACTGTCCGAATATAAAACTTTGGGTCCATCACCCACACAGTATTGGCACTACTCAGTTCTTAGATGGCGGAAGGTGGCATTTTGGCCTCTAATTAAACAAACTTTTGCCTCAGTTCCCTTATTTGTAGGGAATGTGAAGTTCTTAAGGTATTATATTTTAAGCGAAATCAAAATAATACTATATTTTCAAAATGAACATATTAATAATTAATTACAAGTGTCCTGACTGCAAAAACTGAATCTTGAAATGTATCAAAAATAAGATGGATTGACATTGGCGGGTTGATAAAATACACAGAAGGATGGATAGATATGCGATGAAGCATGTGTATATTGAAGTACAATATTAATGGTAGAATATAGTTGGTGGGTATACAGGTGTTGGCTGTAAAATTCTTTCAACTTTTTTGTATGCTTGAAATTTTTCAAAATGAAGTGTTAGAGAAAACTCTTAGTTAAGGTAACCTATATGACGTAAATTCTGTTTACAAAATCAGTAAATTAGGTATCATTCTTTCCCCCTTTAAAAAATGATTTACCATAAACATTATTTACCTAAATACTCTACTGTGATTTTAATAATTTCCATTACAGACAACTTGTCAAGGATCAGACTATGGTGTAAAGTAGGTTATTATAAGTGCAACATTTTAGAAATTTAGAAGATTTCTTCCTGTGCTTTTTCTTGTCCCGTCTCAATTTTTTATCTTCCCTACCTGAAAAACCATTTGGTATTATAAAACTAAGATGAGTTTTTAAGCATATATAAATGTTCTTTTGAAACTTTTTCACACCAAAATAGTTGGGGGCGGGGTAGGGGGTCATATGCCCATGTATAGCAGCTTCTCTTATCCTTTGGAAGTGCTGTTTGGGAATCTTGCAATTATTAATAGGCAAATCTTTGGGGCTATCTAAGTTATTTAGCTATTTGCCCAAATGTTTGAACAATTAAGTTTCCCTCTTCTCTTTATTTTGTTCTGCTCTCTGTAAGACAAGAGGTGGTTCTGTGCCACCCTAAGGGAGAACACCTCCAGGATAATATGTGTGGCTCCCTCATCTGAAGAGAAGGTGACACTTGTTTTGCTTGGAATCATCCCACAAGTGATGCCTCTGAGAGACTCCATCAAAGATGGGGATGCAGGGTTTTCTAGTTGTTTGGAATATTCTTTGTGCCAATGCTTGTTAATAAAGAGCCCTATCACCTTAAAAAAGTGTACGCCTAGAAATGTCGTTACTTGTTTTTTAAGCTGTCTC